ATGTATCAGTAACAATATCAGTACCAGTATCACTATCATTATTAGTTTCGGTATCAGTATCAGTATCTGTATCAGTATCAATATCAGTATCAGTATCAATATCAATATCAATATTATTATCAGTATCAATATCGGTATCGGTATCAGTATCAGTATATGTATATGTATTATGTATCATTAGCATTAGATCATTAGCATTAAAATTAGTTTTAGCATTTATATTAGTATTAGTAATAGTATTAGTATCAATATTAGTATTAATATTAATATTAGTAATAGTATTAGTATTAGTACTAATATTAGTATTAATATCAGTATAAGTATTCGTATCAGTATTAGTATCGATATCAGTACCAGTATCTGTATAAGTATCAGTATCGGTATCAGTATCGGTATCAGTTTCAGTATCAATATCAGTATGAGTATCAATATTAGTATCAATATTAGTATCAATTTCAGTATCACTATCAATATCAGTATCAATATTAATATTAGTATCAGTATGAGTAACAATATTAGTATCAATTTTAGTATGATACAAGTATTAGTATGAGTATTAGTATTAGTAATACTATTAGTATTAATATTAATATTACTATGAGTATCAATATGACTATCAATATCAATATCAGTATTAATATCAATATCAGTATCAGTATCAGTGTTAGTGTCAGTATCAATATCAGTATTTGTATCAATATCAGTAAGAATTAATATTAATATTAGTATTAATATTAGTATTAGTATTAGTATTACTATTAGTTTTAGTATTAGTATTAGTATTAGTATTAGTATTAGTATTAGTATTAGTATTAGTATTAGTATTAGTATTAGTATTAGTATTAGTATTAGTATTAGTATTAGTATTAGTATTAGTATTAGTATTAGTATTAGTATTAGTATTAGTATTAGTATTAGTATTAGTATTAGTATTAGTATTAGTATTAAGATTAGTATTGGGATTAGAATTAGTATCAGTATGAGTATCTATATTAGTACGAGTATCAGTATTAGTATTAGTATCAATATTAATATCAGTATTACTATTATTATTACTATCAATATTAGTATTAGTATTAGTATTAGTATTAGTATTAGTATTAGTATTAGTATTAGTATTAATACTAGTATTAGTATCAGTATTAGTATCAATTACTATTATTATTACTATCAATATTAGTATTATTATTAGTATTAATATTAGTATTAGTATTAGTATTAGTATTAGTATTAGTATTAGTATTAGTATTAGTATTAGTATTAGTATTAGTATTATTAGTATTAGTATTATTAGTATTAGTATCAATATTGGTATTATTATTGTTATTGGCGTATACATCTTATCTCTTTTGCAATTATTTATAAGTTGTGTTTTTGTTTGATTAATGTGCATCACTAATTGAATGTTGTTAGTGATATTCCTTCCAGGTTATTTGAATATCCTATTGT